ATCGTCCACACGCATTTACGGCTGAGCTTTGTTGAGAAATTAATCATTACCTCGGTGGAAGGAACGGTGCGAACGACCGGAGCTGTCGTGATCACCCTAACATCGAAGCATGCCCCCCCATACTACGCTAGCGCTAAAAGAAAGAAAATCGGCAATAGAAGATCGGTTCTTCTATCTACGAGTAGGTTGCACAAGAGGTTCCAGCAAAGCAATGTTTTTCAGGCAATTCCACACTACTGTGGTTGAAAGGTGCAATATGGTGGGGCAACTCTTCACCCTGAAAGTTGGCCCCCACCCTTCCCAGGCTCAGACTTAGACAGGAGTAGATGACCAGGGTTTGCTACGCCTGGTCCCATGGAGCCCAACAGCCTATTTAGCCACACCGCTCAGTGGCTGCTGTGGCTAAAGTAGAACCAGTAGTACTTGTTGTAGTGGTTCAAAGTAGTTCTGGAAGAGTAGTAATTTTGCTGCCGGACGCATGGCGTGGCGGCAATTCATATATACCACTTTCATTTCAAATAGGATACCTTTTAAACCGGACACTTTTCACATCAAATCGGACACACCCCTTGCATCGGGCAGTTGATAACTAGACCTCAAAAGGCTCTGCGCAAGCTCCGCCCCGTTGCCCGCCCACTACTCAGCGCGGTCATGATTTCCCAAATTCATTTAATGAACTCTGTTCCTCTGCTTTTTCGCACTCTTGCTATTTCACACACCCTCTACCTGAAGAGAATTGTTACCGAGAAGTTATCGTTAGTTTTTAATTTTTATAGCTTTTTTTTCAACATCGCCCTCTTCATGCTTTACAGAACGAATGAACTCATAGGTACAGTGGCATACAGAGCTGCGCCCTTCTGATCATGATCTTTTTGCGCCTTTTTGCGGCATTTTGATTTCTCTTCAAAAAATTCTCCTTTTCAGGGTGTAACAGGCGGCACCGCCATTTTTAAAAGCCCCTCCCACTCACAGAAGTTCCTTCACTTTCGAGTGGTCCAGATCGGCAGGCTAGAGCACGAGGTTGCAGGTCATAGTTTCTCTCGTAACCCAAAGCGATCTTTTCATTGTTTTTCGTCCCGTGTGACGGGCGAAACCATAGTCTGGTAGTTCAAATTCTACCTGCCGACTCGGACCATTTTTCAAAAGTGGCGGAACTTCTGTGAACTAGGTGGAGCTCCCAAAATCGGGTGGAAGAACCTGTTTCAGCCTGAGAAGAAAATTTTGAAGAAAAATCAACGTTCCGTGGAACACGCAAGAGCTGGCGTGGTCATGCCAGTGTACAGGTGCATATCCGTAAGTCCAGTTGGTTCGTGATCAAATGGACGGGTAGAGCCACAGTAATGTCTAAAGTAGCAAGACAGTTAAGAACTAAATAATTTATCAGTACAAACGAACAACAGGCGAACGAACGATCAGGTGAGTGACAAAAACAGGATACAATGAATAGGCAGTGTATGGGTACGTCGCACGGAGGAGTCGGCTGGCGGTCGAATCGCAGGTAGTCGGCGTGTAGGCGGAAGGCCCTACCGAGAGTCGTCCGTTTCGTGACTAACGACCTAGTCCCTAGGCCCCACTGGCCCCTTGGAATCACACAGGCTTATGGCCACTTAGATCCCGTACAGCGAGGGGTATAGGAGGAGTGAGGAGGAGGGAGGGGGGTCGGCGAATGAGCTTCAGCTTCGTCCACTAGAACGAAGCCTACTAGACGAAAGATGCTTCGGCTGACCCGCGCCTTATATGGGGCTACTCCCGCCCCTTACTCCCCTCAAGCAAGGCTTAATTTTTGCCCGCTCGTTTCCATGGTCGTGACCATCTACCGACGATTCGGGGCTCCTCACAGGCAGCACGCCTATGGCCTACTAGACCCGATATGGTGGATCACTGATCGACCCACAGTTCTTTCCCTCGGGCACCTTCTCGCGTCGAATCGACCACCCAGTTCACGCTTGACCCCCTACAAGGCCTTCCGCTTCCGCGGAGGCATCCGACCCCTTTCTTAACACATCTATTTATGAGAACATTCGTTCTGTGAAGGTTGGATGCAAAAGCGCGAGGTCGAAAAAAGTTATGAAAATTCAAAACTCTTGATAACGTCGTTGAAAAGCGGGCGGAGTCGTATCTTTGTGTAGCTTTTCAGGTAGGGTGTGTGTGTAAAATGAATTTTGGGACCGCGCTGAGAAGTATGCGGGGCTTGCCGCAATACCTCCTGTGGTCTGGTCAACTGCCCAGTGTGAGGAAGGTCTCCTATTTGATTCGAGAAGTGTTCGATTTGAAATGAAAATGGTATAAATGGTTCATTAATAGGAAATGCACAGCTAATCATCAAGCGCCTTCGTGTTGTCTAAAAGCTTATAATTTGAGCGCATTGAAGGTCCCGGAGAATCGCGACGTATAAAAGCGTTCAAATGGTTCTGTGCATACTTCGGCGTACCAGCTGGAGCCGACAAATTGCTCAGTTGTAAAGGTATATATTACAAGTTTGTGTTATCGAGGGGACTCTCGAGAAAATTTTTCTATCGTTTGCTTCCAGATATGCCTGTAAAACTGGATGGATTGCCTTATAACTACAGCTATCAGCCAGACTGGGCGACCACATGGTTAGAGAAGCCGTGCAATTGCGCACCGGCTGGATACGGAGGTGAGTGATGTGCAAAATGTTTCATATAGCAGCTACCATGGGGAGGGCGGGTGCGATGCCAATGGGAAACTCGTCCGAAGTTGCTTTCTGAATCGTGTAGAACAAACTTTTTTTCGGTTTTTTCGCCATTTCCCACTATACAGCATCCCTGCTATCGACCAAGTACCCAATTATGCCTTCAAGCAATCATCCAAGCTTAACTAATTTTCTGTCTGTGAATGAGTACACTAGCATGCAATGAATCATTTTCAGGATTGATACCGTATTTCGATCCTGCCTATTACCCAGACGAATTCGTGGCAATGAACGAACAGAACCGATTACGATGTGTGGCGAGCGTCTACGCGAAGCCTTCAATGTACAGCCTCAACAACGCTACTTCGCCTTGCCTCAACCACCCTCCCCGAGTCTGAGTGATGCCTCAATCACTCAGAATTTCCTTTGCCAGAGCGTTTAGCTCATTTGTCATCTCCAGCATATCTCAAAGCTTCCAGTATCTCCGCAGCGCGATGTCCGACTGAACTGAATCCACTTGGGTGATTCTGCATTGGCCACAAGCAGAATCTGCCTCACTCAGTTTTGAATCGCACCCCAAACCCGTCAACCCCCCCCAACCCTCCCGAAGTTTGTTGCTCTCTCTTGATGAGCGCGGTAAACCCATTTGCCGCTGGATTTTACTTTCCAAAATGCCCCAAAAAGGCTGAATAGATGTTCCTTTCCGGCTTGTGGCCTCCCCATCACCCAGTTCCACACGTGAACACGAAGAAGTTCGTACCTACCTACCTCATTACTCATTTAGTGGGTTCTCCCCCAATACTTCTAACCACCTAATACTTTGCCATAACATCCGTTTGCTACTGTTTGATGCTGTGTTGTAATTTTTATGATTGTTACTTGTGAAGCTTGATAAACCACTGATCAACAACAAACAACAAAACCAACAACGACAACAATTCTCTGTTCAACATTTGAGGCGTGACTCATCCTTTCTAGAGGCGTTCAGTTGCGCACGCCAGGGCATCACCATTGTGGAATTTCACGTCGGATCACTTCGCCATTCCGTTCTACACCACGTTAGTTGGAAGCGGTGCGCACCTCTTCATTCAGTGAGCGCACGACATTGTTGAAAGCGACCGGTACGAACGATATGAACCGTCTTTGTCGTTATGGCGAAAGAAAATATGCATAACAGATTTGGAGGATGGGCGACGCGCTAAACCCATACCACCTAACAGGCCCTATCATCCGCTCAACAAGCAACTATCAGCTCTTCATTCGCTAGGGTATAGTTATAGTTCGTTTAGAGAAGCTGTGTGTACGCATAGTTGACTTTCGTTCCACTGCGGCATCCCTTATAACCATATCCTGCCCACTTGTGCAAGGAGGAGAGCAATAGGTCAAGCTTAAAAGTCACTTCTTGTGAAAGTTTGAACCCTTCCACACCAAGAAGTCTGGCTGGTCTACAAGGAATGGTTACCACAGCGGCTAACACGATGCTAAGCGATAAAGGTACACGCGCTCAGCCGAACCTGAACACGTGTAGGGTAGGAAAACAGTGGGAAGCGGTTGAATGAAAGGAAAACGGTGACAGGGGTGCAAAGCGCACGCTTGAGTAGGAGCACGCAGCAAGAAAGGAAGATACAACCGCTGGTAAAACTGCAAGCTAATACAAATACTATGATGTTGTTTTGATTGTAATACTCTCATTATATAAGACAGCCATTTAGTACACTCTGAGCCATTGCACAAGGAGCTCGCGTAGCAGCTGGACGTGGGTTGCTCCATCTATTACGATTCCATCAAAACAGCGCAGTATGAGCAGTTAAGTGAATAAACAAATTCCGTTTTTATTATGAAGTTCGCCAGACGAAGCCGGAAAGCTAAAGAGGAAGAGAGCTCGGCGTCAACGAAGCGGTCCGGCCGGTAAAACCATAAAGTGCCCTCCCCCAAACTCCGCCCACATAACCTATGCTGAGCCTCGCCCTTATGGGTAGGAAAGGGTCTCAAGCCAGAACGGAAAGCGGTGGGTGCAGCAGTATGATCTGAGATGATGTTTTGATGAATAGCGTCCTCAACGCCCATGAAAGGCACCCATGCGGTATGTTTGCACTTACTAAACTACAGGGTTCTTTCCAAGCGGGGCCGTGAGCATTCGCCAGCAGAGGGGCAACTGAGGTCTTCGCGTGAATGTCTACTACCAAATTTGTCCATTGAGGACTACCCTCCCCCCCCCCCTCCTCCATGGTGCACACGATAGTGTGCGCCAGCCAGCACTGGTGTTGGAATAAACGGTTAAGGCCTGGCATCACTCCCATTTGTTCACTTGATCAACGTATTTTGGTGTTGAAGGTGATGGATCTGAGACTAACAGGTAACAAAAGGAATATTTATTGGTCACAAAGACCAAAAAATAAAAAGGATGTATTACAGAGAGATGAACCACCCTACTTGCAGCAGTAGGCATAGTAACCATTTGTCTTACACGATGAGCCTGCTGGGCAGAAGTTGTGAGCACATTCTTTTCCCTTGAGAATGATTTGAGGCTCTCCCGTTTTCTGAACAGATACAAATTCAATGAAATTAGCCTTGCCTTCTGAAAAACACTCAACCTTTTGTATAACGAATGCGCTCTTCCGCTGTCACCTTTAGAAAACTTTTAGCAGCTAAAACTGCTTCACTATAGGTCGAGAAGGTCATCATTTTTGGCTGCTGGCAGAAGTTGTGCGCACATTCTCTTCCTTTAGGACTCGAAAATCAAAGCTGTGCACATTCATGTTTAAAAAAATAATGCGAGAACCTCATCCTGGAATAGGTAGAAATCGCTTGTTTACCAAATACAGTACTGCCTTTGTTAACGCTTCGGAGACTCTTCGTGGAGGAGCCGTCCCGAAAACGGAGGAACTAGCCTTTTTTGGAATGCATTGGGAGGTTGCCGACGTTATGGTGAAGAGGAAAGGTCAACGTTTCCCGGTTGATTTTCAAAGGGCAGCAGGCACTCCTCTTCTGGTCAGAATCATAGGGGCTTGAATGTGATGAGGCGTTTCAATAACCTGAGGAGGCCGGCT